AGCCGTTCTCGGACACCTAGGTGTCTGAGAACAGCCGGGGGAGGCGGCGCGGGGAGGCTGCCGGCTGCGGGGACAGGATGGGTGTCCGGAAGCCTTCCAGGCAAAGGCCTGGAAGCCTTCGACACCCCCATACCCTTCCCCCGCCGCCGCTGAGAGCCTTCCGAGCTCTCAAAGGGCTTTCTCCAATATCGGAGGGGGCCCTTTGAGAGCTCAGAAGGGAATTGTCCGCAGGGGACGGTGGCTTCTGGGTCCTTCCGAGTACGCAGTCCACTGCCCACATTTTCCCCCAGCTGAGCGGCGGGGTTTCAAAGCTCCCGCCGCTCAGCTGGGGGAAAATGGTGCCTATGGGGAAAAATCGCAAAGTGATTTTTCCCCATAGGTAAGATCGTAGTGCGATCGCAAAAACGATGGCAAAAAAGCCATCGCTATGCGATTTCTTCGTTAAACGGGGCGCTCGTTATACGAGGCACCACTGTAATAAAGGGGGTATATAAGAACTAGCCCTGAAAAATGTGCTTTTAAAATTAAGGCTTGAATAATAGTTTACTGCAGTCATTTCAAAACAATTAGTCAGCTCTCCAGCCAAGCAAGGCTACTGTACAATAACAATCTTGACAGCAGAACTGTTTATGTTGCAATGTGTAGATATAGTTTGCAGGTCCTACAGCTTCAACTTTTGGTTGTTCCAATATCTTGGAGCTTCAATAGTCTGGCATTCCAGGACCTTGCCATGATAATATCCAGGTGTTCCAGGACTCTGGTGCAACAAGTCTTTATTCCTCCTAAGCCAGTGTTTTCCAAGTTGGAACCTCCTTTTATAATAGCCAAGTAACATGTGATCCCACTGCCACATTTGCCAAAAAAAAAACAAAACAACCCTACATTTTAATGGGGTAAACACATTAAAATAGATTATGTTCATAATATAATTCTAACCTAATATATTAATGTTTAATACCTAATGAGGGAGGTTGTAAATCTGCCTCTACCAGATAAAATTTGAGGGGAAAAGTCAATACACTTTGAGTTAATTTACTGTTTGGGGCATGGAAACAACCTTCCCTTCATGTCTCCTTCCCCACAAAAAAGCCCCCCTCAGTGAGGTTTCCCTCCCCCTCAAACTCCCCAATGTCCCCTGGTTCTCCTCCCTCACCTTTTTGCCCCTCTTGCCCTCCTCCTCCATGATTCAGACCGGGCCTCGAGGCATCTCCTCTCCTAGGTCCCTTCTCCCTTCACTGTGCTGCCATTGTCACACCCAGATGAGTGGGAGACTCAAGTGGAGAGAAAGATGGTACTACAGCAGCAGAAGCAACTGTTCAATCCTGCCACAGTCTTGGGCATCAGCATTCCCAGCGTGCACTGCGTGTTCGCCTCACTCAGGCCTCTTTGAGCCAGGCTAATGCTCGGGTCAAAAGGGCTGACATCAATCCTCAAAAATGGATGTGAAGGAGCAGAGAAAAACAAGTGAGAACGGCTGTTCTGGAGGAGATGGTTTGCCGGCATAAAAGGAAAAAAAACACCCAAAGGGATACAGAAATGACTAAGAACATTAGGTTGCCCGGAATTCTGGTTCAGATTAAATTTATCTGTGGGCCAAGAGGATTAAGATAAAACAGCATTGTGGACACCATATTTAATATAATAAATATAAAAATAATTGCTACTAAAAATAACTGTGATGCCCAGTACTAACCAATTGTTCCCTCCTGCTTCTGATTTCAAAGACAGCCCTCCTTCTCCGCTGAGAGTTTTTCCTCTCTCTCTCTCTCTCTCTCTCTCTCTCTCTCTCTCTCTCTCTCTCGAGTCTGTTGAAGTTTGTTGCTGAAAGCAGTCATGTTTGTGAGTTTGCTGTTAGATCTGTTCAATTATAATTAATACAATATTTTATTCTTTCTCCTACTAATATCTCAGAGTGAGTTACTGAGATTGTACTGTAAGTGATAGTTGATGGACTAAGCTGGGGAACTTGAAGCTCTTCTGCTATCTGAATCCCTGCACTTCTGCTGTGCAGATAGAGGAATCTAACAAAAAAATTCAAATCTCGGCAACATAAATAAAGCTTGTAGAATTAGACAAGCTGAGATTGCCTGGAAGCACTGCAAATATGAAAATATTTATACCTTGATATTTGATGAATTTTGGAATTGATTGTCTGATTTTATTCTGGCATTGACCCTTTTTGGGGATAAACTTCAGCTGTAATTATTTTCCCCTATATAATTCTGTAGGTCTCTTAGGGGTATGTTTAGACACCAGAATCCCTGGCCTGACAAAGGGACCTCATGCATGCAATTAGAGGGCAGTGAACAGTAAGGAAAAAGTTGGAAGGAACCCTGGGAAATCAATGGTCTTAAGTGGAGCATGATGATGCCAATTGAAACTGTCAAAATATTCAGTGAATGAGGCAGAGTGATGGCTTACTTGAGGTCCCCTTCGCAGGTTCCCTCAACCTCACTTCCAGATTCACAATAATTTTCCCTTGAGAAGATCACCCAAACTATGTCTATCCCTTCTTGTACCTTACCTCCAAAGCAGAATTAGTAATTTATGTATTCTATAAAATATTTGTCTTGCCAGAGTGCTCCCTTACCAAAGTGAGTGTCCTTGTCTTGAAGAAGGAATATGTCCATCCTGTGGTATTCTTTCCCAAGTCAAATCAGCAGGTGTAACTGAAAATGAGAATATTTTGAATATTTATTGTGAGGTATGGACCCACACTGACATCAGACAAATTCAAGGACTGGTATTGGTAAATTAATGAAAATTTCCAAACCCATAGCAGTTTGGTCATATGTGGTTAGTTCTTATTGTTACTATCACTGCTTTTCTTTGTATATTGAAGTTTTACCATTCCATTTATTCCTTTTATTGTGCTACTTTGAAAAAAATATTGGATTAAATATCTAATATTTTGGGGAAATACTCAAATTGTCAGGTCTGTCTGGCAGGTAGGTTCATCTCATTTTAGACAACAGGAAGTGACATTATCACTGCAGTCAGTTCCTCTGTACACCAAGAAAGTTTTTGGAAGACTTTGGAAAGACTACTTATCTGTACAACAACTCCCAGAATCCTACAGCTAGTCTGGCTCCTGGCCATGCATCAGCTGTTGGATGCTGGGAACTATATTCCACCATAAGGATTTTTCTCCTGAGCTCTGAGAGGCACATCAGACAAAAACAAACAAGCAAACAAAAAGAGAGAGAGAAAATATTGAGGCACTTTAAAGACTAACTTGAGGATGCAATACAAACTGAATTTCTGCAGGAAATACCTCAAGTATGAACATAGGTAGTTTTGCACAATTTATGGGAGGATTTAAATTAGCAGGGAAAAGTCTGAACCACATTTATTTGACAGAAGCATATGTCTGAAACAATATACACATATAATTAACCTTGCATAAAATCAGTAGGTGGCGTCACCATATCTCCTTCTGAATTTAGTTCTTTATTTAATAGAATTTATAAAACCTTCTATGTCATTTCATAATGAGATGCAGTATATGAAAACAACCAAATAGAATAAATATATGTTTTTTTTTAAAACCTTCAAATAAATTAACAAAATGATAGCTGAAATTTATCATTTGGGGAACATTTATGGAAATGGCTGTGAAGAATAATTAATAGTAGTAGGTGTTTTCATATCTACAAAAAGAGCACTCAGGTTTTGTACTTCTTCATTAGCCCACTAACATCCAGTGTTGGATATAGACGTCCCTTTTTGAATTCCATAAATTTATGTTGTGCTGTATTCTAATTCATGCCAGTCTTGCTGATCATTTAAAATCAAACCAGGATGGGTGAAGAAAAATAGCCATGTGGCCACACACACAAAATAATCTCAAGTCACTCTAGTCTTATTCTCTGTATCAAAAACAGTTCCGAACAGGTAGCCGTGTTTGTGATCGTCTGTTGCATCAAAACCAACCAAGAGTCCTGTCATGCTGTAATGATTTGGTCTTTAAGATGCTACAGGACTGCCTGTTATTCTCTGTTTGGTTTAGAATGTGCTTCCTCAGTTTTATGGTGATAGCCCCTTTTTTGCATTACAAATGACTGGCCCCATTATAGTGAATTATGTACAACTCCAAAGGGAGGAATAAACCCAGGAACAAGCTGCCTGCAAGAAAAGATTAATAGCATCTCACTTGTCAACATGTAGAAGTCATTGAAATATGTTGGCTGATCATCCTGGGGGAAAGAGAGAGAGAGAAAGAGAGAGATTGAAGTTGATATTTTTATTTACATGGCATCAGTACTATTATCTAGATAGGGAAAGCTTTTAAAATAAAATTCAAGTTTAAGCTATCTCAAGTGACTACTACAAAAATATAATAGCTGAATAGTTATGCAAAGAAAAATGGCAATGTCTTTCAGGTGCACGTTAGTAGACAATAACTGGAATGCAGTAATTCTTAAGTAAATACTTTTACACAGTGGAAAAACAAACAGCAATATCTAAGGCATGGCACTTCTTATGTTACAGCAACAAAAGGTTGAATAGTAATTAAATTAACAAGGGAAAATACACAAAACGTTTGGTACTTACAGCAGTGTTATGAAAGGCACATCCTCCAAATATAAATGCGATATTTCCTGCAATCGCCAGTGCATGCCCATGTCTAAAGCACAACATGAAATAATGGTGAGTAATTTAGGATATTGCAATAGTGGTGACTTTTTCCAACCACACTTGATGCTGGCCTCTCTACTATAGGTATTAGTAGTGATTTCTGATATTTAGTGTAACATGATAGGGTTTTCAAGGTTTGTGAGATGTTCAATGAATGGCCAGCGAGTTTCAATGGCCAAACAGGGATTTGAATCCAGGTCTCATGAATCTGACATCCCATCCATTACACCACTCTGGCTCTGAAACTTTGTGTGAATTAATATAGCTCTTTTAATACACCACAAGGTCGAGTTAAATCCAATTTCTAGTCCCAATAGTACTGTAGCTTCTATTATAAAATTATCCAATGGATTGTTACTACAGATGGACATGAACCACTTAGCGGTTTGTACCAGTTCGTTTCCCAGACAAACATGTGTCCAGCACCCACCTCCCAGCCCTGCCTTCTCTAGTTGGCACCCACTCAGAAGCAATAATACAGAACACAGATTATGAAGGATGGTAGCATTCTTGCCAGAAGCACTGCCTTGTTTCACCAAAATAGAATGACTTCAGTGCCCTCCATTAGAAGTTCATCAGTTTTGCCCTTGATATCAAAAATAAGAAATTAAAGGAAATTGTGCCCATTTCAATATGTACTTGCTTGTGAAGGACTGAGGCCTATTAAATCAAATGTGACTTACATCTTGGTGTAGATGCACTGGAGTGCTTAGCAATCTTTACATTTCATTTATTGGTTTTGTTTCTAAATTTGGAAACATGAATGTTGCTACATAGTAGAGGAAAACACACAGACCTCAAAGTGCCCCCCATTAGAAGAACAAGGAGGAGGAGCTGTATGAAAATGGGGGAAGCATTATTTCTATGTGCTCCTTTGGAATTGTTAAGATGACCTGATGTGAGAAGGAAAAATAGTGCCCTAGCAGTTTTAGTATCTCTGTAAAGGTAGGAATTTCATTACAGTATACAAGTCATATTTGCTAAAATTTACTTTTCTACACTACTATTACAGCTACAGAAGCCCTGTCCTCTTTTACACTGGCCATCTTAGGTTGCTTTTCCATTTCATTACAAGCCTGTGGCTTTTGCTTCTGGCTGTACTAGTCAGTGGTGGCCCATGAAATTTTATAACGAATTAAATAACTATCAGTTTCCTGCTCTTTCATGAGACCCATAATCTGCTGCTTGAGGCTGCCATCTCACTCTACCTAATGGTAGAACAGGCTTGTGATTTTGATTAGTTATCTTGCATTTGGTGGGCTTTGTTTTGTGACTTTGTTTTGTGACTGGAAGGTAGACACGGCCTTAATTAGCAAGTCTAAAGTCTAAGGCATATATCTCAGAGAAAATCCTGTTGTGGGAGGGGAAACTGGCTGATAGGAGGAAATATGCATTTCCTTTAACAGATACTTTGATCCTCATTCTACTTTTCCTCCAGAATTTTCTGTTTTCTCACAGAAGGCTTATGCTACCAAATACAGAAAGGGGGTTAGAAAAAAAGAACTTTAGAGCCCTATTCAGTTGTCATCAAGCCAGCTGTTACCAGCATACTTAGAAAGTATGTCCACAAGGAGAACATGTCTGAAGAGAAACAAGTCCTGATCTCATGTAGGCAATATGTTTGAGCAAAACCTAGAGTTTACATGAGAACAGGAATCACTCATCTTCAGACACATTACTCTCCAGATGGAGAAGGCAACAGAGGGAAGAGGCTAGTTGTGATTGTGACAACAATCAGCTGGATGAGTACTGAGTAGGGCTTAGGAGTGATTCCAGAGTTATATTTGCTGGGTGAGGACAGGTGAAGGTAAAGGTAAAGGTTCCCCTTGACATTTTTAGTCCAGTCGTGTCCGACTCTAGGGGGTGGTGTCCATCCCGTTTTCAAGCCGTAGAGCCAGCGCTTGTCTGAAGAGTTTCCATTGTCACGTGCCCAGCGTGACTAGGGAACGCCGTTTTTACCTTCCCACCGAGGTGGTACCTATTTATCTACTCGCATTGACATGCTTTTGAACTGCTAGGTTGGCGAGGAGGTGGGATAAAGTGATGGGAGCTCACTCCGTCGTGTGGATTCGATCTTATGACTGCTGGTCTTCTGACCCTGCAGCACCGGCTTCTGCAGTTTAGTCCGCAGCGCCAACACGTCCCTTGAGGACAAGGTCATTGTTAAATGTGCACTGGCATAAATGCATTCTGCCAGGATAGAGATTATCCTTGCACAGATATTACAAAACACATGCACACTATATATGTAGAACAGATGTGTCTTTCACATTGTTTTTCAAAACAGCAGTACAGTAAGTAAATAAATAAATAAATAAAACACAACCACCACTTTTAAGGTAAAATTTACAATCACTTAAACAGAGCTGGCAGAAAATATTTAAGCTATTATATGTGAAAATAACATGGCCACACTGAAAGACCTTTACTCAGAACAGACTAAATAATGTGAAACTTAGTATATATCTTATCTGAAGCATATCCTGTTTATAGTTATGTTTTGTGGTTGTGCAAAAAAAAGCTGGTGTTCTCTAGAAAATAAACAAATATAACAATGTAATGAGTATTTTTATATTACATGTTGTTAAAATACAAACATTATGCAAGACAAAAGCTCATCAGCTCTATAAGGATGACATACCTAGGATTTGGAGGTTCCCCAGTCGCTTCTTTCCTAATCCAATGTCCACTTGCTAATGCCATCTTAGAACTGGTAAAAAGATTTTATCAACAGAAAAAAGGTGTAATTTGTCTTGCTATGACAGATTTTTCGCAAGATTTTTAAATGGTTATTTATTTTGTATGGGACCCAAACTGCCTAATGTGCAAATGGAAAACACTCCATTCGGATGGCGGTGGAAAAGAGTGTCAGTTCTGCTTTTCCACTGCAAATCTTCTTAAGGTGTTTACCCAAAGTTTCAGGAACAGGTTTTAGAGGACATAATGACCTGTAGTAAGACACAGGGGATCACAGATGTTCAACTGCACATGAAGCAATCCTGTGGGGTTGCAGCCTGTTGCCCATCAATATTATCATGTTTATAAAAATGGTAAACTTAACAGTTCTATCATTATTGCAAGCCCTTTGAATGCTACTTCATTTTTAAAAAGTGCAAATAATAATACACAGCATGAGTCACAATCCCCTGCCCTCCCCCAACTTTATTCTCATCATGTTTCACTCACCTGGAGTGCCTCAATATTTCATTACAAGCTCAGGAAACAGTGCCCCTCCAAGCTCAACAAGCCGTCAAATATTAATTCTGCTGTAATTTATTCACTGGCTTCATCAGTGCTACCTTGATAACAGTTGCTATGACACCGATCTTATGACTGCTGGTCTTCTGACTCATACACAGAGAGGAAGGCAGAACTCAAATTCCCCCTTCTTATTCCACATTACTTCCGGGTTACTTGAAGTCATGGCAACACAAGCAGAGACAGATCTCATACTGTATATCCCTCCTATGCAATGTATATTGTTTCTGTCACTATGCTTGGAAAAACCAGGCAGATTTCTTAAGAGTCATAATACAGGGATTAATAACAGACTAAGAGCAGAATGATACTTAGGGTGTGACAGACTAGGATTTAGAAGAGCAGGGTTTGAATCCCCACTTGGCCATGGAAACTCACTGGGTGTATATGCAGAATGGGTAGAACGGCTCTTTAAATATCTTTAAATATCTTGTTTCAAAATCCCCCCTTTGCACCGCCCCTTCTCCGCTGCTGCTGCTGCTGCTGCTTCTTCTTCTTTCTTCTTCTTCTTTCTTCTTCTTCTTCTTCTTCTTCTTCTTCTTCTTCTTCTTCTTCTTCTTCTTCTTCTTCTTCTTCTTCTTCTTCTTCTTCTTCTTCTTCTTCTTCTTTCTTCCAGCAGATTATAGCCAGTCCACCAGTTCTAATCCCTCCACTGGCTGGTCTCTGAGAGTGTAAAGGCATTTTTGTTGCTTATGTTTTTCAACAGGAAATGCAAAACAAAACAAAAGCAGATCAAAAAAAGGAAAGAAAAAAATAAAAATAAAAAGAAAGATACAGTATTGTGGCACCTTAAAGACTAACTGCTATATTTTAATGTAATTTTTCTTGGGAAATGACCACTTTGTCAGACATAAGAGTTAGAATATAGAGACTACACGACAAAACATTCACACAAGGCTCTAAGAGAAAGGGACAATGGTGTTTGGCTGAATTTCATACCTAGTTATGGTTTACTGTTTATTTAATGACCACTCTTTGGTATTCAGCTCTTTTGAAGCCTGGTTCTGTTTTGTTATACAGTGGTGCCTCGCACAGCGAGGTTAATCCGTTCCGGATTAACCCTCGCTGTGTGAAAGCATCGCTGTACGGGAAGGAAAAAGCCATTGGAATGCATTAAACTTAGTTTAATGCGTTCCAATAGCAGCTTTACTCACTGTACAGCGATGCTTTTCCAATGGCCGGCAGCCATTTTCGCGCCCTCCCCTCGCTTAACGAGGGCACGAAAACGCTGCGCGCGGCCATTTTGCGGCTTCTGGCGGCCATTTTGAGGCTTCCAGTGGCCATTTTGGACCCACCGAACAGCTGATCGGCGGGTTGCAAAGCGAAGGTCGGTAAGCGAAACGCTTACCGACCTTTGCTGTGCGATTTTCGGCCATAGAGGCCATCGCTCTGCGATCGCATTAGCAATCGAAAAAACGTCCTCGTAGAGTGAATTCATCGCTCTACGGGGCGCTCGTTGTGCGAGGCACCACTGTAGTTCAATTCTTCAAAACCTCTGGTTTATGAATGTGAGATATTATGTTTCTGTACCTCTGATTAAAAAAACCAGGAAATGGCCCAGTATTGCTGCACAATATCGTGCTCACTGAGCCAGCAGGAAAAAGGATGCCAAGCTTTACATAGCAAAAGGCAGCCTGAATGTTAGCAATATTAATGGCAGCACTCAAAATGATCTACAGCAGTAGTCCCCAACCTTGGGCCTTCGGATGTTCTTGGACTTCATGTCCCAGAAATCCTGGCCAACAGAGGTGATGGTGAAGGCTTCTGGGAGTTGTACTTCAAGAACATCTGGAGACCCAAGGTTGGAGACCACTGATCTACAGGATACCCTCTTCTGCTAACTACCATTCACACTTGTTGAAAAGGGAGTCAGCTTTTGGGATTTCCCCTTGCATGCTGTCACTTTGTGAATGGTAGCGTTACTGGGGGACTCTTGTTCAACACCTTGACTATTAGTCTATGGAGTGTCTCAGGGTTTCATGATTCGCCATACTATTTCACATGCACATGAAAAACCTGAAAGAGGCTGTTGAGAATTTTATGGTCTGGTACTACCAGGGTGCTGACGACACCCAACAACATCTGCTTTTCAAGATCTCCCAGGAGATTCTTCTCTCAGTCTATTTGGTCCCCGTGTGTGGTCATCCAGACTTTTAAAACAGTCTTTATACCACACCCTGCAGAATATTATACTTGCAGCCACACAAACATTTTCTTGCATCAGTTATGTTTTTCTAGCCCCTTAGTACCAAGCACATCATTTATTTCTTTTGTTACAGAAAACCATTGTATTTAAATGACTCTCCCTTTATTATGTCACTTGTATCTCTTTTTGGTGCTAATCTCATTTCAACAAGAGCAACTCCATCATCATATTCCTCTCATCTCAAATCACACTGAATTAAACTTGTGTATATGTCCTGCAGATTTATTTTTATTAGTATTACTCCTTGCCCTTAGAGAAATGTAGCACTACTTATTATTGTCTGTCATAATACTTGGAGCGAAAACATTAGACCAGCCACAAGAATGGAGTTTTTTGGATGCAGGCCAGTGCATGATTTTGCATTTACATCCAGCCTTTTGACTGCACATTTTAATTCCCCCCCCCCCAAATATGAGTCACAGCTTCAGCTATGGAATTCATAATGGTAACATTTAGGAGATTTAGGTGTAGTTGTAAAATTCATTTCATTCTGAAATATTGGAAAAGATCATTGTGTTGTTATACTGAAGCAAGAGAAAGTTGACGTTAGCAACAAAATTAAAACTAAATGTTAGATCTAATTAACATAAGTGGTAATCAAAGCAGTGGTCAGAGTTCTCTCCTAAATGGAGACCACTCTTCTCTGTGTAATGGAGTAATATTTATCACATGATTTTCCTCTGTGGATCCTCTAATTCAGTGGTCCCCTGTGGGTGATCACGGAACAAAGGAAGGCTAATTGTAACCAGGATTGGCTGAAATAACCTTTGATCTTATGCTCTACCTCTAAGCGAAAGGGCAGAATAAGGGGTTACCCCATGTGCTGGCACCTGCCACTTCCTGCCAGGAGTGTGTGCACATCACTGGAACAGAATGCAGCTACAACCTTCAAGCAGAAGTTTCCCACATATCCCCTTTTTCTTGTTTGTTAAGCAAAGGCACATATTCTTTCATATATTTGTGAACTACATATAAATCTTTTCAGCGAAGGCCTGAGGGCGAAGCTTTGAGACAGATAGTTATTATGGAAAAGAAGGTTGGTATACATTGAATAAAACAACAGCAACTTATAAGGAGTATGAGGAGCATAATTCCAAGAATGAGAACACAACACAACAGCGTCATGGAGTTGGCATTCAGCTGCGAGATAATGACTGCTAGAAAAGTTTCAGGAGTATCTTGGATGTGATGCTGATTTAGAGGTTTTTTTGCATCAGCACTCAACGTCTTTATCATCCCCCAAGTAAATTTGGGCTGAGTGCCTTCAGGTTGGGCCAGGTGTTTCTGGTGACACGCAGTCATCTGGTCCCGCTCCGGAGCCATCACTGGGTTGAAATCTGGAATCGGGTTTTGCAGGTTGGATGCCAACTCATTCTTCGCACGATATGGTCTCACACACTGAGCCAGGATCCACAAAGGACCTGTGGGAGTAAGCACAGCAGCGTAGCCATGGCCCCATGTTAGTAAAAGGGCCGGACCCTCCCACTGAGGGTCAGGAGACTGCTGATAAGTCACCAGCGGCCGCTCCGTGGGGATTTCTTTACGAAAATGTTTCTCTAATCGTAACAACTTTTGCTGACCTGTAGATAAAGTTAAATGATTTAATATGAATAATGCTATTGATATTACATCGGGAACACCTTGGGGCTTAATCCCTCTGTTTTTTGTTTGTTTTGAAAGGAGAAATTTAAATGAGTGGTGTGATTCTACAATAGCTTGTCCTGTGCAATTATAAGGAATACCATGGGAAAGTTGAATGTCCCATTCATTGCAGAAAGTGGTAAAGGCATGAGAGGTATAGGCAGGGCCACTGTCTGTTTTTAAGGCTTGAGGCCGGCCCATAATTGCAAATGTATGTAAACAATGTTGTATGACATGGCGAGAGGTCTTGCCACAAAGAGGGGTAGCCCAAATGTATCCCGAATAAGTATCAATAGTTTAGATGAACATAAGAAAGAGGAGCAAGAGTGGGAACATGAGTGACATTCATTTGCCAAAGCTGATTGGCATCCATTCCTCTTGGGTTAACAGCATCAAACGGAAAGGAATTGGGGGACATGAAACAGGAAGACCAAGAGGAGATGATGTCTCAAGCTGAGAAAGTGGAATAGAAAATTGCTTATGGATTTGTTTAGCACTCTAATGAAAAAAGGAACGGCTGTCAATAGGATGGAAAAGAGGGGACACAAGGAATGAAGAACAGAGTCAGGACAATGATTTCCCTCTGAGATAGCATCTTGAAATCCAGTATGAGATCAGATGTGAGCTGTTCTCGACAGTGTACATTTTAAAAACAGTGCTTTAATGGAAATTTAAAAAAGAAATATAAAACCTAACCACAACAAACAAACAAAAATAGACAACATAAGATCCAAATGGTGCAACATAACTCATAGGGCAATCCTATATATCAGGGGTCCCAACCCTTGGTCCGCAGCCTGGTAGAGGACTGTGACTCTGGCAGGACTGGGCTGAGGAGACAGATCTACTGCATTCCTCCACACACTCCCCTGCCCCCTGTGCATGCATGTGAGGATGCCCTGCCCCCTG